ATGGACAAGGCAAGATACAGTGCCCCGATAGAGGATGGATCCATTTAAACTGATAGCATACTTGATCTCATTCTGAAGGCTGAGAAGATGTGAGTTGTTTGGAGGCCAGGAAAAATGTCAGAGGTCAAGGTGATGAGCTATTGCTTCTGGGATGGGGGAGCATAGCCTGGCTGCAGCCTTCTGGGTCAGCTGGGGCTGGATAAATCAGGGGCCCAACTGACCTTTCCCTCAACTGAATCTAAAGCTGAAAAAGTTTAGGTAAGGGGCATCCTCCTTGCTCCTCCCACTCCGTCTCCTTGACCTCAAACAGGATCTCCACACTTTGCTCCATGACATCCCCTTTCCATCATGATGACTTCTCCCAGGAGGCTTCCTGGCCTCTTTCCCTTTCAGAGCCACTCCATCAGACACTCCTCTACACCCCCAGACTGCAGGGATTGGAAATAATGGGGTCTCAGTCTGTCTGCATCTTCTGAATAGCCTTGCTTTGTGTGTCAAATCAGAATGTCAGTGTGATTTGTTTTCTGGTGTTTTTAGTAGGGCTTTCTGAACAGCTTTGAACAAACTACATTTCTTGGTTCAGTCCTTTTACAATAGTATCAGTGTGCTCTTCCCCTCTGATGAGTACAGGCACTGTTTCCAATAAGGACTCAAATATAGTTTAAGAATTGGGTATGGTAGAAGAGGCGAATTGCGAGTGTGACCAAGTTTCCCATGGACTTTTAAAAAAGTGGTTACAAAATCCTCAAGCTATCTAAAAAAAACGCCCATTTAAAAAAACCTGACTGTAGCAGTTTTGAAGGGTGTTAGAACCTGCATTGGAGACCAGAGCCTTCTGTCCGTAGAACAGGTCTATCCACAGCAGCCTTGGTGTCAACTTCCCCCAGCACTGAGCTGCCAATGTGCCACCCTGCTCTGTAGGGAACACCCTTGGAAGGGACCATGGGTGAAAGGGGAGTCAAGAAGGGACAGGATTCCGCTGTCAGCTGCTTCCGTGTAAATCTAGAGTCACTGTACTTAAGTTAGTGGAATACTCCACATTTACGCCAGTGTAAACGAGATCAGAACCAGTTGTTTTTTTGTGTAGTGGACACTTGCCCATTATTGGGAATTGGAAGAGGGACACCAGCTTATTTCATCTCGACCCACAACCAGCCTGCACAGGCTAATAACTTTCAGTCGCTGCTGCTTTGAACCCCAATCTTCCAAACACGTAGGCCAGGTTTACACTAGATACTTTTCCCGGGATAATTATGTCGATTAGGATGTGATTCTCTACAGCGTTTGTAAAATGGCAAAAAACTCTAGTGTAGATACAGTAATACTGACAAAAAAAGTCCTTTTGCTGGGATAGCGTATTTTGTTTGGGGAATGGCATAAGCTGTATTGGCAAAAGAATTTTTCTGCTGGTATGAGCTGTGTCTCCACTAGGAGGGTTTGCTAGTACAATACAGTACCAGCGTAGCTATACCAGCAAAGCCTTTCTAGTGTAGACATGTTTCTGGGGTCACGGGATTACATGAGAATGTCAGCTTTCTTTTTTTTTTTAATTAAAAGCATAAGTCTCTAGCCCTCGTCACCTTTGTCCAGCTTGTCCTTGTCCATCCCTCCACGAATGCAAGTCGACACCACACCATTCTATTTCATTGCGAGCATGTTCTTTCCATTTTTGGCCAAAGAGTTTTATCATGGGACCGGCCCAGCGCATTTTCGGTCTGCCCAGCGGTCGCTTGTGGTCTCTGGGGATCCAGTCACTGATGCGGGTTGTCCACTTATTGTCTTGCCTGCAGACTACATGACCTGTCCATCTCTGCTTTGCGTCGTACATTGCCTGAACTACATCCGTCACCTCTGTATGCCTTCTGATCTCATTCGGTATATGATCACGGAGCGTTGGTGTGGGGGTGAACGGGGTTTGACAGCGAAATACGGCGGAGCATATGCTCTGGCAGGTTTTACCAAGCCGAGAAGGTGTCAAGCTAGCGTCCAGGGTAGTACGGAGTCCGACTGTACCTCTTTTACTCTAAGGCAGCCCGGCCAAAGTGGAGGGGTACCGCAGCTACAGGGCACAAGGGCTGGCACCCCAAATGCACTGCAGCAAAATTCTCCTGCCAAACAAGCCACATAAAAGCAGAATAAACCGGGAAACCAAGCACAGACTCATGCGTTGGCCTGACCATCGCTCACAACCTGGGGTAGCACAGGACAAAAAACAGAAAATGGCTAAAAGAATAGTCCAACAATTTGTTGCAAGTCACAACACAAGCCTAGCCCTCATGCTTGTGGAAAAAGCTTGAAAAAGTGATCCCTAAAAGTTCAAAATCCAGAAAGCAAATAACAAGAACCCCTTCTCCCCATTTATTAACTTTTAAAATCTTGTGATTTCAAAGCCCGTCTCAAGATTCTGGAACGCTTGGTGTTGGCAAATTTGCACTTGGAGATTACGCCATGGGGAACTGTTCATAGTAGCAAATGCGACACCTGATAGTGTTTGCTGGATCAATCCCTTGAGCAGGATTGGAACCAGAGTCATCTTATGAAAAGATTATAAGAATTGGTTTATTTTATTCCGGGAATATTTTTTTTCAATGAAAGTTGGCAAACTTTATGGGATGTTTCTCTATGTACACAAGGCAATATTTAAAGAGCTCTGCAGTGTACGGCAGCTTTCACCTGAGAAAAGAAAGTATCCTATCCCTACTTATTTCAGAGGCTTCCCTTTTCATTAGGAGAAAAAAAAGTACTAACTAAAACAACCAATCCAGCATTGAACTTTCATCAATGGAGAAACTTTCATCATCGGAGAAACGTTCATCAACGGAGCCCTGCAGGAAACAATTTGGGCTCATTCATTCAAAACCTTCTTTCTGAAGGAATTCTGCCCCCATAAGTCTGTTTCACTACAATGGGAATTCTGTCTGGAAACGAAGGAAATTTAGTACCAATCTAATCTAGCTCTCTGTCTGATATAGGTTCTTTTTGGTAGTGTAATACATGAGGGAATGACTGTGGTTTTGTGGTTAATGCACACAAATGGAAGTCAGGACTCCTGAGGTCTATTCTTGGCTCAGGCAGTGGCTTGTGTGTGATCCTGGACAAATCACTTAGACTGTCTGTGCATCTGGAGGGCTGTTCTGTACCTCACACACTTCATTAGTGAATGTCTGTAAAGAGCTTTGAGAGCCTCAGATGAAAGGTGTTAAATAACTTCACAAGGTTATATTTATTATGATGATTTTTTATTACAAGTGAGAAGACTAAAGAAAGATGCTGATCTGAACTGAAGCCCTAAGACTTTTAAAACTTAATCATGAATTTGACTGGGAAATTATGACTTATTTCCCACTGCCAACTGCTGAATTCTTGACCTACACGTGGTGTTTGTTTTGTTTTCTCTCGTTTTACCCTGCATCTCATGGTCCTTTTGGTTTTTATTATTCATTTATTTACTCTTCCTTTGAGTTTATCTAGGTCATTCTTAATTTTGTTGCCCTCCTCAGTTGTGTTGACTGACCCTCAAGTTTTGTATTATCAGCTGCACATTCTTTTCTCAAGGGCATTGATACACAACTGGAAACATCTGTCATAATACTGGCCCTAGCTGGACTAAGCTAGCTTGCTCCGTCTGCTTCAAGCCGCTGATACTCAGTGCTCTCTGCATTTGATATTAAAGCCAGTTCTTTGCCCATTCGAATGTCTCATCCTCGGATATCATTCTTATTGTCCTTGCAGATTAGGCTTGTGCTGATGGTTTTGTATAAATAGCCTGAAGGCTTGTAAATTATATGAGCTTCCTGCCACCTCATTTCTTGTTACTGTCTCATGAAATTCACACCGATTTCTTAGGCATCAGCTCCTTTTTTGTAAATCTTGGCTGATTAGTTTAGTTAAATCGTAACTTTCAACATGTTCCCCAGCTATAACTCTGGGCAGTTTCTCTAGACAGCCCTACAGGCATTTGGTCCCTTAGTTCTGCCTTACATGCCTTCCTATAGCCACCTTGGACCAAATCTGCCCCCAGCTACCACCCTGCAAGCACACTGATTTCCGTGACGGTCCATCAGCACACAGCCACTACATCAGCTTCTCTCCAGCCTCTCCTGCCCTGCCCTGTATTTCTGAGACCAACACTGCTCTCCGGGCACTAGATTCTGACACCCTTACTCATGTAGAGAACTCCTTGAGTTCAACAGGACTACTCTTGGGATAAGCTGCTATTCCAGATGAGGAAGCGTGTCATGTTCTGGTTCAGTATGAGGAGTGGGCCTATGCAGTGTAAATAAGGTTTAATTTTTAAAATTGAGTTTTACTAAGTGACCTTAGTCCTTGTAAATTATTAAAAAATGTGGAAAGTCTGCACATAAATCCTATCTGCCTGTTTGCAGTCTGCAATGCAGATTAATAACACCCCATGACATAAGAACATAAGAATCGCCATACTGGGTCAGACCAATGGTCCATCTATCCCAGAATCCTGTCTTCCAACAGTGACCAGTACCAGATCTTCAGAGGGAATGAACAGAACAGGGCAATTAACAAGTGATCTATCCCCTGTCTTCCAGTCCCAGCTACTAGCAGTCAGATGTTTAGAAATACCCAGATAATGGGGTTGCGTTCCTGACCATCTTGGCTAATAGCATGACCTCATGCTCAAAGATCAAATCTGAGATCACATTGCAAATCTAGGCAAAATTACTTCTCCAGTGATCTTTAATTCATAATTGTATAAGAAGTCAGGCTTGATTGTTTATACAATCAGAGTCTGTAGGTTTGATATGGGGTGATTAGGGAAAATGGGCACGGCCTTTGTTTCCAGGCATTGGAGTAGTTATCAGTTGAGTTACAGCAACCTTAAATTTGACAGCAAAATTGCAACTGCTGTGTTTGAAAAGCAAAGGAAATGTCTCTGCAATAGAAAAACAATTCTTATGCTCACTAAGATTAGGGTCTAAAAGCTTAACTCTTTCCAGTGCTAATTGTCTCTTGTTTTTCTTGCACAGGAACATTTGCTGTAATGTAAAGGTGTCCCCCTTATGGAATTCAAAGAACAGTTCGACATCATTTAACGTCAACTTTTGTCTAGTCTTTTGAAGAATGGGCATCATCACTTTACAAGGCCAAATAGAGAATTCTCCTGTAAACACCAGTAATCTAAATTGCAGACTTCCTGGGACTAAGTAATATATAAAATTGGATGCCGTACGGACAATTTGTAATCAGGATAAAGAAGCTTGGGGAAAACAAGTAAACCGTTTTTATATATTGATAAGACGTTATTTTAATTGCATATTTAGCAAAACCCCACAATTATTAAATGACAATATGATTATTGTGACTTCCTACAAGATCTCACTTAGCATGTCAGCTGTTTACAAATGGAAAAGAGAGAGGAAGATTATGGTTCAGTCGATCTCCAAAGGATCAAAAGTCAATACCTCAGTTTTGTAACTCGTCTCTTCAGCACCATCCAAAGATGTGAAATTTGCTTCGCTGCAGAATCCTAGGGCTGCTTTGGGGGCAATAAACAGCTGACTCACGTCTGAGGAAAGCACGACAATGGGAGTTCTCAAATGAGCGTGCGGCAGGAATAGGCCACCACCACCTACTCACTCACACTAAAGGTCTCCAGGAGGCGTTCTCCTGACACCATGGAGATTCTGTTCCTGAAAATGCTTTTGCTGCTGGCTGGCGGTTTAGTTGGGCTCTTCTATCACCTCTCAGATCTTTGGGTGGGTGAGAAGAGAACAGTTCAGAACAAGCCGAATTTCATAGTCATTTTGGCAGATGATGTTGGATGGGGGGACCTTGGGGCCAACTGGGCAGAAACCAAGGACACTCCTAATTTGGATCAGATGGCTGCAGAAGGAATGAGGTAAGCCTCAAAGAGGCGTCTGTCTATTTCTGAGTCTTCCATTTACCTGTTGTGTGATACCAAATGGCAGGTGGACAACAGGAAAACGGACAGAGGTTCTCACTAGTTCTTAACAACAACAGTAAGTGCCAGTGTATCCTGTCTGAGATCCATGTGAGAACCATGCTCTGGACTACCTGTGGTCAAATTCATCCCTATGCTGAGACACTCCCTCCCCCCACCCCCACGGAGGGATGTGCGTTACTTACATCACATATGCCCTCAAAATAGCAAGAGCAGGGATCTAGTGCCACCAATGGGGTGTGGCTGGGCAGGACACTGTGGGGGCCCTACCTGCTACAGTGGCCTGTAGGATGAAGGTCCAAAAGATACTGCACCTGCCGCAGAATTAGGCAGATTCCCCATGAATTGGTTGGAGGGGAGGGGAGGGTGGTTAAAGTCCAGGAAGCTGAATCAGGAGCTCTGGGCTCTATTCCCAGCTCTGGGTGACCTTGGGCAGTATCTTTGCCCATCCTGTGCCTCAGTTTCCCGCTCAGCAAGATAGGGATAATAATGCTCCCTTACCTCACACAGAGGTTGCAAGGCTGAGCTTTAAGGCTGGCATTTTCCAAGGGGCCTTGGTGGGTTTGGAGATGGGAACCTAGCTTCCATAGGCCTCATTGACAGTTCCAGCTTTAGTGTCTGTTAAACCTCTGATATCTCCAAAAGAAGGGGTGATACAAGTGCACAGTATCCTTCTTATTTATGGCCTTGGTCTGCAGGCAGCAGCAAGCCCGAAAGGTGCAGGTGGTGACCCAAGAAAGAGTTCCTGAACAAGCATTAGGACTGCCTTGGAAAACTTGCCCAGGTGCACAGGAAATCAGTGAACATAGCATCACTGTTTAGAACTCTGGTTGTTTGCAACGTGTTTGTTCTTCATGCTGACTGTGGTTAACTTCAGCCAGTGTGGCAGAGAACCTGGGTTCTGACAACCTAGGAACAGCTGATAGACAAATATTTGCATGAACTAATTGCTTAGTAGTAAAGACTTTTCTTCATTTCAGCAAATATTTAGAGGCAGGTCCTGGTTCAAATAAACGAGTCTTGTCTTTAAGGACATTGATAAATACAAGTTATGGTAATTGTGGAGGAAATCATACCATGTCTTTTTGTGTAGAACCCAGAGAGAAATCTCAGCTGGAAAATGTTTTTAATATTCCTTTTAACCGGGATATACAATGCATTGTAACAATAACCCTGAGCATCTACATAGAGCTTTACATTTTCAACGTTGTTCCTAAACATTAACTATTTAATATGTGGCCAGGATTAGGTTACAAGAATGCACAATTTATTCTCTTGCCAGTTTATTAACTCCTGTTTTAGAAAAGTTATTGTAGTGGTGTTGTGGTCGTCCCACTCCCTGTGGGTCACTTCACTAGGAATTGGGATCATGGCCCTTCCAGCCTTCGTAACAGGGTGGGACCCCAAATAGTCAATAGGGAGTAGACCCTCAGGCAGGGCTTGGCTAATGAGTAGTCTGTAGGCTCAGGCCTGTAATCAGGCAGCACAATGACGCAGTCTATGAGCTCTAACCCTTAGGCAGGGGAGAGCTAGCAAGCACTCTATGGTGGGGAGTCTGCCACCCCAGGGGTAGGGGGACAGAAGCCCGCCTGCCTACACTGCATCCCAGCCCAGGGCACTAACACTGGCGGGGTGTCTGCCACTGGGTCAGCAGGGGTCCTCCCGCAACACGCTGACTGGCTGGTAAGCCACAACACCACCAAACTGAAGTCTGGTTTCCCTGGGCTACTTTCTACCAGAGTTCCAGATCGGGCTCCGTGGTCTCAGCATCCTCCGCTTCATCGGGGTACTCAGCTGCCGGCAGTCCCACTGGCTCCTTCCCGGCTTCGGTCCTCTCCAGGGCCAAGGTGCACTTGGCTTGGCCGCAGGGTCAGCGGGCTGCAGCCAGCACGGCACGTTTGTCTCCTTCTCTGGCTCGGCTAGGGGCTCCGCCTTTTGTACTTCCTGCCCCGCCTCTCAACTTTCGGTGGGAGGGTCAAGCCCGGCCTGACTCCGCCCACCCAGGCAGAGAGTGGTTCCTCCTCCTCTGGCTTGGAGGGAGGCCACACCGCTTCACTACCGTTATAAAACCGCATATTTCAAGGTTTAAATCACCCACTCTCATTATTTAGGGATTAGGGTGAGACCTTCATGGGGGCATTTCACATCTTCCTATTGTAGGGTCCTTGTGCCCTCCTCTGGAGCATCTGGTTCTGCCCCTGGTTGGGACAGGATTCTGAACTCTGTGGACAATTCCAGCCTAGCTCCTATATGAGATAGAAAAAACCTCCTAGATCAGGTACTGTAGTTCTGTAGTTCGCCTCCCTTCTCCCCAGCACTGCTAGATTGTTCCCTGGGATATATTTTCTAGTGCTTTGTCCTTTTGAGGTTCTTACCTAGGATTTCAGTCCCGCTGGGTATTTGGCAGTTGGTGCATGGAACTGTGCAGAGCTGGAGCTGCTCAGAGAATGATTTCCTAGAATTAGATGGAGAAACCTGACCGATGGAGCTGGCGTGAGGTTAAACAGAAGTGGGACAACCGCCTCAGATCAAGGCAGGCTGAGGAGAAGTGCTGGCTGAGTGAGAAAGGCCTCAGAAAGCTATATCAGGTCCTTGGTGCAGGGGGAAGTTGGTTCTAGCGATGGGGAATCGACAATAGAATTTAAGGAAATGACCCAGCTGTGTATTCCAGACAAGATAAGTCTCTCACAATGCTGTTGTGGGTGTGAGGAGAATGGTCTGACTGTGAAGATACAAAGTAGGGAAGTGGTGGGCCTGATATTTAAGGACTGAAATCTCCAGGGCCAGCCTGAAAAATGCATCTGCACTTGTGCATCTGATTGCTTGTGCCTCGCTAGGAACCCCCTCCCTTCCCCTTGGGCGAGAGCTGTGCCCACATCACCGCCAGGCTGGGTCACAGCACTTCCCTGTCTTTGAATGGAGAACCAAGAGAGAGGCTCCAGCTGGTACCCAATGCAGCTGCCCACTTCCTCTAGAGTATAAGTTGTGGTGAGCACATCAAGTCCACTTCTGCGACCAGGTCGGGGCATTGGTCCTCCTCTTCAAAGCAGTTAATGGAGCAGCTCCCCACTGCATTAGAGAGCACAGCTCCATCGATGAACTGCCGAGACAGTTGCCCTCCTTTGGAACAATGCAGATCATGAAGCGCCTGAAAGCCAGTGACAAATCCATCTCATTTGAAGGGCTCTGGTTATGGATGAATCTGGAGTCGGACGGGCTTTAGGGAACTCTGTAGAACCTTCCCACTTGATAAAAGTGTCTCCACCATATAATCACAGTGATGTTCCCAGCATCAAACGCTCCCAGTTCCAGCTCCTTCCACCAAACACACTCTACTCCCAGCAGAGTTTACTGTGCCCGAAGAGGGAGAAGAGCAAGAGACACCATGACATCCACTCAGGGCTTCACTGTTCCCAATTTCCTATGTGCAGAAGATGCTTAAACACTAAGGGAATGGGTGGCAGTTTGAAACCCATATAGCTTCAGGGTAGTTTGAAGAACTCAGCTATCTTCAGGCAGCTGGGCAGCTCACTGGCCGCTAACATGTACAATATGGTCATTTGCACTTGTGGCAAATGAATGGCAATCCCGCGTATGTTTGTTTGCTGCCCTGGGCTCCTCGGACAAAGCCCAGCATGTGGGAGCATGTCAATTTTTGCCAGCTAGCGGGGGTCATTTTTGCAGCTTTTTGTCAGACGTTCCAATCACAAATCCTAAGGTACGTTCCGCCTCTCTCTCTTCTAGATTTGTGGATTTTCATTCTGCTGCATCCACTTGCTCCCCATCCCGTGCCTCCCTGCTCACAGGAAGGCTCGGCATTCGCAATGGAGTGACCCACAACTTTGCTGTCACGTCAGTGGGTGGCCTCCCCCTCAATGAGACTACGTTAGCTGAGGTTCTGAAGGAAGCAGGATACATCACTGCGGTAATAGGTAATGAATGCATTGCAGAAAGCTCACTACTGTTCTGGTTTGCAGTTTATCCTGTAGATAATGGTAGATGGGGCTTGGGGCATAGGTGCTGGAACAGAGGTGCTGGGGGTGGCAGCCCCTGGCTTGAAGTGGTTTCCATTATACACAGTTTGGTTCAATGGCTCTCAGTTTCCCCCTCTATAAAGATTGTTCCAACACCCCTGCTCAAGGGACACAGGATGGACCATGGAGCTAATTCGTTGGCTCAGATCCAACCCACGCAGGGAATGGCTGCAAGTAATTATTACCACTTAGGTTGTACACTCTCGGGGGTGGGGACTGTGTCTGTCTCTGTGGTCTGTGCAGCATCTTGCACACCTGACCCCGCTGGGGGCTTTGGAGTGCTACTGTAACAGAAGCATTAAATAACAGTGGAAGCTGTTCACGTCTATGTCATGAGACACATCATCTCATTTGGCACTAAATGACTAGCTCTCTTGCTGACAGTCACAGCAGCTAAGACAAACCTTGAAATAGGCCATGAAGACTGACTCTTCATTCACCTCTAGGATTGGTCCCTTCTGGGTTAGCGTTGAGGCATGTTGGCAGAACGGTTCAAGCTGCCCCTGGACTATTCGGCCAATATATATTCTCCAGTGCACTTTCTGCATCAATCTATCTATCTATCTATCTATCTATCTATCTATCTATCTATCTATCTATCTATCTATCTATCTATCTATCTATCTATTTCTTCAATATTGTGAAAATATATACAGGCGCCCATCCTCCACTTGGGATTCTTTTCCCTACATTGAAACCCATGCATTCATTAAAGAGGAACTTAAAGGATAATTTTTTTCTGACTTTTCACTTTTTCTACCTCTCTGTTTTGCAGTTCTATGATGTTTTTAAAAAATTGCCTTTTTAAATGTGGGTGGTTACATCATGATGTGAACTAAACTTTTGGCTCCCTCCAGAATTTCAATGTGTGAATTGTTTAACTTTAGAAGAGTGGTTTTTTTCCTACATATAGTAACTTTTAATCGAAATATTAACATGCAGAACAGTTCTGTGCCCACAGACCCAAATATTCCTTGATATAATACCCTGTGCTAGCATGAAAAGCTATGTTATGTGTTGTGTCCATGGTTTCGAACTCCCTACTGCAAGCATATGGAGCGCTGTCCCAACTTCCAAGGGAGTCATTCTAGTGTATCAGATCAGTCATCTGTGGATAATGAGTAAAACACACTTTCATTCAGAGCCGTTAAAATGCAATGAAAGAAAGTCACAAAACCCAAGAAATTCAGTTAGTTAAATGCTGATTTTGCCATTTCTTTACATTGACTTACATGCAAAATCATTCTTTGACTTCAAAGGATGTTTTGCATGCAAAATTACGGCTGGATATGGGCCAGAATAGCTAAAGCTTCATAATTAAACTGTTGGTGATCATGTTGGATCAAATTGTGGCAGAGCCTGAGAATATAGTGCTTGATCTTTGAAAACACATATGTGGCAGTTCAGAGGAGGAAGCCAAGAATGGATCATTCAGAACCTCTTAGAATGTCTTGTCTTTGAAAACTGAATGTCTGGCAGAACCGTGGTAAGGGCTTAAGGATGAGCGAGACTCGAGAAAACGTAACAATTGTTTTATGAAATGCCTCTGAGATCGAACACCTTTATGGAATGGAACCCTTGGCAAAGTGGCACGCTTTAAACAGGACCTGCAAAGACAGCGACTCTTGTTGCTGGATTAAAACGTCAGGCCCTGGACACTGTATGTAATTACTAGTACCTGCACAGTTTTCCTTCTGAAACGACTTCCTATTGCTTCCATGCAGGTAAATGGCACCTCGGGCACAGCGGCCTCTATCATCCCAACTTTCGTGGTAAGCTTTTGTTGTAAAACCCTGCAAGTGTTTTTGTTTCCCACCATCCCTTTCTCTTTTTAAACCCACTCTCCTCCTTCCTGGTAATTGCCCTCAGAGAGGGAGGAGCAAGCGAGGAGCAGGCTCCTCTGTCAGTCCCCCTGTAAGTCATTAGTCTGCAGGGATACTGCAGGAGGCCATGCGCTGCTCTGTCCGCTGCCAGAGGAGTTCTGCTGCACAGGAGACTCTGCAACCCCTGCCCACTCCCACAACAGCAGGAGGGGTTGGTGGGGTGGCCAGTGACTTGAATTCCCTGTGGAAGGAGTAGCTCTAGTTATTGGGTGGGAATGCCCGTTGCCCAGCTCCCATGGGCTTGCAGAGAGGGGGCGCAGTCTATGAGGTGTGAATTCCTTTTGGTAGCCGAGGTGGAGTAGGGGATATGTGTGCTCTGGATCTCCCTGTGTTTAAGTTCACACCCAGGGCTGCTCCCACAGGGGTTGGTGGAGTTATCTCTGGGGTGGAGTTGACCCAAGTCTTCACTTGGAGGAAAGTCCAGCATTCCTGTCAATTTATCTTTAGAATAGAGTCCCTCTTATTGTGCTATTTACTTGGTCCAGCCCTCCATTAACTCAATATTGGAGCCCTTTAAAAAGAGGACCACATTGGGAAAAAACCCACAGGAAAGTACAAACGATGAAGTCTCAATGGATCCTCGTCCTGTTATAACATGAGCTAGATCCCCGAACCATCAGTCAGACCCCCATGGAGCCCCATGGGCGTGAGCATTCACCTGCATGGTTCAGGGGGCTAAGCCGCTGTTTTGCCTAGAACCGACCCCATTCCCATCCTTGAGTTTGTAAACTCAGCGGGAGCAACTGTGTAAACAGTGGATAAAAGGCAAACGGCCACAGCAGGCCGCCGCGGACACACTAACGCTCTCGTTTGGATCCCAGGTTTCGACTGTTACTTCGGGATCCCCTACAGTCACGACATGGGTTGTACTGACACCCCAGGCTACAACCTCCCTCCCTGTCCGGCATGCCCTCGACACTCTGCAGCCACAAGGTACAGCTTCTCCGGTGGGGTGGAATGGAGTCTGGGCTTTGATGGGAGCGGGGGTGATCAACGGCATCTCCCTCGTGCTAAATGTCAGAGCTGAACGGAAAACGTTTTCTCATGGATCCCAGGAACAGAGAAATTGGCAGGGGCTGTAAAGATGAAGGGTTTGGAATGAATGTTCGCTATGGTTTCCTCTCCCCTTGCTCTGCCTCAGAGGGCACCATCCCCTCTCACCTGCAGGGTGTATAAAACACAGCAGGTTTGGGGGGCCAGGCTGGTCCCCTGGATCCCCTTCACTCTCCTCCCCTGGCATCACAGCACTGCTCCCCCAGGCCAAGGAAACCCTGAGGAACCTGTCAATGCTCCTTCATGCACCAGCCAGAGGAGGTAACCAGAGAGCAAGACGAGGGGCCCTGGCCGGCTCCTGCTGAAATCAGAGACCAAACGGGGTCCATGGGAGGGAAGTGGTTAAGACACTTGTCTGTGACACAGGAGATCTGGGCTCAGTTCCTGGCTCTGCCCCAGACACTGCCCCCCCCCCCATCTTGGATAAGTCTCTCAGTCTGTCTGTGCCTCAGTTCCCATTGTTGAGATCATAAGCTTTCCAGGGACTGTCCCTTACTGAGTGTCCATCCAGCAAGGGGCCCTGAGCTAGGCTGGAGCCTCCCGGTGGTAACAAAAATGTGTTCGCTCTCCCGCAATGGGAGGGGATAGTGAGGGGCTGGGTTCAGATCCCCTCCAGTTCTGTCTGTCTCACATGTGCGGCCAAACCCGAGAGAGATGAGGCTTGATTTCTGGTGCAAGGGAAATAACTGAGACTGGGCCACATTGCAAATGGACCCCACTGAGGTCAGGGCACAAGCAGGCCTGCTTCCTTCATTCAGAAAGCCTCCCTTGTTACTAACGGGGTCTCTTGGTTTCTCTCCAGCAGCCATGGGAGAGATTGTTACACCAAGGTGGCTCTTCCTCTCTTTGAAAACATCACCATCATCCAACAGCCTGTGAACCTTGCTGGCTTGGCTGCAGAGTATGCAGAAAAAGCAACTCAGTTCATCCAGCGCGCAAGGTAAGGCTGCCCCCCAAGACACCACTTTGCAGCTCTCTCTCTGTGGAGTTTGGGGCAATGTCCAAATATTGGTGGCATCCTGCTACTGCTACCAGGTACTCTATTAGCTCAAGTGGCCGAGGTCTGCAGGGTGGGTCTAAACATCCGAACCCTGCTGACGGCCTGTGGAGCGGTAAGTAAGATTTCACATGATGGAACTGCAGTTTTTGTAGTTCACTTTTTTAAACCCCTAGGTAATTGCACACGAAAAACAACATTAAAATAACGTTATGGTTGCAAAGTCAAGCACTCATAGGTTAGGATATGCCCGAAATAGGATTGTCTGTGCAACCTTAATTTGATCCCCTTGTGCATGTGCATTATGATACAGTCTTTAATAACATGGTCACATACTAATTTTTTCCCCTCAGGATCCCTTCCTCATTCAGTGCCCAGGATGGACACTGCTCTAGGGATGGATCAGGGCTGTGTAGGGAAGCAGACTGTCCGGTGTTGGACCCCTGCCTCGTTGGTAGCAGAAGTTGGAAGGTGTGTAGCAAATGAGGCATATTGTAGGAAGAGAAAAAATAGTCTCATGATTAATGCAGCTGAACGTTGCCCTGGAGAATTGGATTCTATCCCTGCCTCTGCTACAGAGTTCCTGTGTGATGCTGGGCAAGCCGCTCACACCAGACTTTTCATAGGCAGTCACTAACCGTGTGTTCCTCATTTTATGGGTGGTGGACTTGAGAGCCTGTGAAAATAAATTGTGTAATGCATGGGAAGCATTCACATACTCTAGAAGAGCCCGTTATTAATGCTATCTTCAGAGCAGGGTTTGAACGGCGTTCAGTAAATGAGCCATATGGAGCGATGCAGATAAAATAAAATATTGAATAACTGCTCACTCTGGGGGCACTGTCCATCCTGTGCACTGACCGAGGCAGGGGTCCGGTGGAAAAAATAGTATGTGACCATGTAATTAAAGCCTGTATCATTATGCGTATGCACAAGGGGCTTGAATTAAGCTTGCCTAGGCAATCTGAATTCTGGCATTTCCTAACTTTAGAGTCTTTGACTTGGCAACTGTAATATTCTTTTAATAGAGTTGTTGTTACTCCCGAGGGAATTCTGCGCCAGAAAATTAAAAATTATGCGAACAATATTTTAAAATTCTGCAACATTCTGCAAATTTTATTTGTCAGTAAATAACTGTGGCTCCAGCATGGCTGTGGGGAGCACAGGCCACTGGCCGCATTGAGGTGGGAGATCACCCTGAAGCCCCCATCTTCCCCAGTACTCGGCAGTGAGGCTGCACCTGACCCTGACACAGTGCAAGGGCTGGGCCTGCCCCAGAAACACCCCGGGGCCCTGCCCCTCTGCATCAGGTGCACCAGGTGTGGGTGGGCCGGCTCAGCCCAGCAGGATCCAAGTGTGGAGGGGCTTAGTGTGGGGGGGATCCAGGTGTGGGGTGAGAGGTTTTTGTGTGGGGCAGTCTGGATGCAGGCGGCTCAGTGGGAGATCTGGATGCACAGGGGCTCGTTGGGGGGTTCTGGGTGCAGGGGCAGTGGGACTCTGCTGGGGATCCAGGTGAAGGTGGTTGGGACTCAGCAGAGGGGGGTCTGGGGAGATGGAGCTTGGTGGGGGGGTCTGGCTGTGGGGGGGTCCAGGTGCTGGGAGAGTGTGGCTAGATGGGGTGAGGGTCCAGGTGCAGCTGGTTGGGGATCAGTGGGGTGGGGGGGCTCGGCGGGAGGGTCCAGGTGTAGGGGGTTAGGGCTTGTCAGGGTGCAGCTTTGATGGGCCTGCTTAAGGGGGGAGCCCCAGCTGCTGCCGAGAGGATGCCACATGCCGGGCTCCTACTTCCCCCCTTCGATTCCCCTATCCCCCCTTCTTCCCCATCTCATCCCACTGCCCCATGCCCCACCCCCCTCCCTTCACGCCCACATTCCCCTCCCCCTGCCCTATTCCACCCCCTTTCCTTCCCCACCACCCCGTCACCCCCCTTCCCTCCTGGCACTCACTGTTGCCCAGGAAACGGGAAGGCTCCCAGCACACAGAAGGGAAGCACGACTGGCTCTAGGACCCAGGAGGTGGTGTTCAGCTGCAAAGTCAGCAGCGCCTAGAGGCAGCCTCCTTCAGGTGGGCAGCTCTGCGCTCGCAGAGATGGTGGGAGGGAGGGGCATGTAACCCCATGTGCGCCCCACCATCTCTCAACCACTCTTGGTAGGGC